GGAGTTGGGCAAAACTGATTGGAAACACTCTTTCCAGCTGATAGTTTATGACTTCTTAAGACCTTTGATCATCTGTCAAAACTCTTCCACCTGAGCATCAAGGACCCCCTCACCAACTACTCTTCACTCTATGTTACAGGAATAACATTGACTATTTATTGACCATTTACTGAATACCAGGAACCATTTTACATTCATCATTTTGTTTATTCTTTATACCACCTCGAGGTATGTACAATAATAATTTCCATCTTATAGATAAGGAAACAGATCCTCAGAGAGGAAAACCCATTTATTCAAGCCCAAACAGCTAGGAAGTGACAGAGCGGGAATTCTAAGTCCTCTGTTTTTCAACCACTACCCTACACTGTCTCCTCGGGCCCTCAGCCAGTCTTCCAATCTGAGTGTCTACTCCAGCCAGCAACCTCCTCCTGGCTAACCTCACCCAGCCCATAGGTAAACACTGAGTACACAGAGCTCACAGCTATAACTTTAATTTGCGAATTCACTTCCCAGATTCCAGTTCAGTGGTAAGAATAGGTTCTATATCCTTTTGGACTTGTGTTAAGTTTCAGCTCCACTTTTCACTAAATGTGTGTCCTTTGGGCAAGTCACTTTAACAGATGAAGATTAAACGATGTAATGAATGTGAAAATGTCTAGCACAGAAGCTGGCACATTGTGTGTTCTCAGTAAATAGGAGAGGTCAGGTCAAGGTTAGCAGAGATGACCCAAGAAGTCCTGAAAAGCTGACCCTTAGCTCCATAGAGAGTCACCTGGGTCTTCTAGCCTCTCTACTTTGCTTTCAACTCTTCTGGTAAATACATCCTGCCACTATCTCTACTGTTAATGCTCCTTTATAAACCTATGGGCTTTAGAGTCAGAGGACTGAGTTATAATCCTGGCTCCACCACTTACAACCTGTATGTCCTTGGACAGATGACTTTTTCCTCTTTGAGGCTCAGTGTTCTCATGTATAAAATATCAATAATGACATCTACTCCATAGGATTGCTGTGAGGATTAAATGATAGTATGCATGTAAATGTTTAGCAAATGGTCAGACATATAGTAAAGGCTTAGAAAATGTTAACTATTCTTTGTGAATAATAATAGCAGCCATAGCAGGTTCAAACTGCCAACTGATTAGAGTTAGAATCTAAATTCCTTGACTCAGTATTGACAGCTTTGCACATTGTGGCTCCATTGTTGCTTCCTGGCTTCTCTTCTTGCTGTTCCCTTATGTGGATGTCACCTTTGATCCTGATATGGTTTTCTCACCTCTGTGCCTCTGCCCATGATCTTCCTCTTTATTCAGAATGCTCTCCCATACCCCATGCTTATCTTACACCCTGTCCTGTTCAAGCATCACGTTCCAACTAAGCCCATAGCCTCTTTGATTGCCCTGAGTTTCTACTTCCATCTGCGCTAGTCTTACCTAGAATATCTCTCTTCCAGTGGTTACATTTGACTTCCCTTTGCAGGAATTGACCTTTCTCCACTAACAGTCCATGTGCTATAGTGGTGGGCATGTGGCTGAGGTCTTAGACAAAATCACACTGATTAATTAAGAGATGCACACCTGACCAAAGCTGAGCCAATAATAACCAGCCCTGGAACTTTTGCTGAAGCCATTAAGTAACAGATGTTCTTTTTAAACAGGCATTGCTAAGCTATAGCAATGAAATTTCAGGGATGCTAGTAGTGATATTTATCACCTTCAAGAGAAAAGTGGACTTAAAAAGAAGCCAACACAGAGGAAACAAGAAATAGAGAGAGACATGTCATAATGGCATTATTTGAGCATCCAGATGCTTCCAAGCCTGAAGTCAGATACTCTTTACTTTTAAGTTACGATATGTGAGTTAAAAACACTACACTATTTATTTTATTTTAATTTATTTAAGCCAGTTTGAGTTGGATTTATGTCACTTGCCACTGAAAGACTGCTGACCAATATAGTGATACAATTAGACGGTAAGCTTCTTGAGGGCAGGAATTGCATTTTATAGACTTAAAATCCTTGGGGACAGGAATGATCTCAGCATTGCAGCACCTGGCATAGGAGGATCACAAAGCAGGTGAGGAATAAACAAAGGAATAAACATCTCTTTGCATTTTCTCAAAGGTCCAGTGTTCTGCACTCAGGAGACTCTAAAATACTTGAATAAAAGTTCACTTGAACAAGAAACATACAATAAACATTTTAATTCTTATCTGAAACAAACAAAGCCTTTGCTCCTCTGCGGTTTCTCTGAGGATGTCTGATTTCTACTTTCTGAATGGAATGATCTTGGTGAAAGAATTTTTCGAGGAGCACCACAGGGCAGAAAGAGAAACTTCAAGCCTGCTAATCTAACCGATTAGCTCCCACCTTGTACAGGTGAGAAAACTGGAATTTAAGCTAAAAACAGTAGCTTCACACTGAACGTTAAGTCACAGGCAGAGTCAGCCAAGACCAGACTCACAGTCCAGTGCTCTGGCTTCTATTCTGGTGTCACTTTATTGAGCAAAGAGTATCAGTTTCTTACCCAGAGAACTCAGAAATCTCTAAGCAAAATGGAGTAAACTGCTCAACTCTGATAACAGCCCTCGGGGTGGGACAATAACACGAGGGAAAGAGTACTGGGCTAGTTTATTCACTTATTGGTCGTGTGACTTTGGGTAAGAGTGTAACTTGTCTAAGCTCAGTTTCCTGGGGGCAAGGGAAAGTGGTATTTGATCTCTAAGATCCCTGAAATTTTATAATTATGTGGAGATTGTTGAACAGCTCATCCAATCCCCAAGATTAAATCCATTTGGACTACAGAAAATTAAAAGGCCAAGAGGTCAGCAACCCATCCGCAGGCTCCCAAATAAGTCAAGGATTTGGGGGTTTCAACTGAGCGCATATCCTTTCCAACTTGCCTTTGGAAGGAGAATAGGATGGAAATACATAAAATCACTTTCTGAGTACCACTGAGAAATATAGAGAGATATGACCCATATCCTACAGTTTTCTCTTCTCACTTTCAAAGATCCTAAAAGACCCACATCTAAGTTGAATGGAGTGAAACGTGCCCATGAGAATGTCCACATTTGAATAAACACTGCCTTCTTCAAAGTATTTTTGAGGGAGTTAGGGCAATTCTTCCAATGGTACAGTAATTCCTCCCTGCATTTGCAGAAGTCCTCTTGGGAAGCAAACCAGCTTCATGACTTTGCCCTCACACCTTGGCTTTCATCCCAAGTGACAATTGTCAATTTGATCACCCATCATATTTCCTACACTTGGCCCTGAGTGACTTCCAGACATTTCCAAACATCATATTCCTCCCTTAAAAGATGGAGGTTTCAGCACACTCTCCCTCCTGGGAGCATGCCCATACCTTTCACGTTCCCCTCTTTTTTCCTTTTGAAGGGATCCCATGAGATTCATAATCAGGGGAGCAATGGATAGCAGGAGTTCATCTTGAGCTAACCCCCTGAACCAGTCCCTTTTCTCTGACTTTTCAGTAAGCCAAAGAAGCCCCACCTAAGCTCATTTCTTTCTATAACACTTCTAGAGAGCCAAAACAGCCCCATCTAAGCTCTCTCCTGTTGCTTCTTCTATGCTAAGCCCCTCCTTGTCTCACCATTCCCAGCCTTAATAAATGTACTCTCAAAACAAAAATAAAAATAAAAAGAAGGAGGTTTCCTCTTAGTGATGACCTTCAAGAGAATATACCCCAATGCTCCAAAGATAATTCCCTACAATATTTTCAGCAGGAGAAAAATCAACAAGTGATATAACACCTCCTCCAGTGAGGCTCTTTTGAAGGGGCCAATACTTGTTGAATGCTTTGAGGTACTTATTTTGAAAAACCATCTCTGCTTCATGATCATCACATTTTCTCTTCTCCATCTCACCCTTGAGGGCTCCAAACTTTTTCCTAGCCTTTATCAGCCTTCCTCCCCCACCCTCTGGCCCCACTTTCCCCAGCTCAACTGTCTCCCCTGCCTGCAATCAGGCAAATGCCCAAGTTGCTAAACCTTCAAAATCTGTCTTCGATCGAAAGGCGAACAGGCATCAGGGACCCTAATGGATCCTGGAAAACTGTCTCAGCAGTTTTTATTCCCAAAGGCACTTTTTTTTATTCTTAGGGTAAGATGTCTGTCTTAGACAAACATTTCAGAGGGGCCCAAGAACTCATTCTTGTTTGGACATAGCACGAGAACCCTCCTCCTTGCATTGGGTGAGGGTAGATAATGAAAGCCAGTCCTCCAGAGAGCCATGTTGCCAGGTTCTGTAAACTACTCACACTTCAAATGTTGAATAGACACTATAGACAGCCTCCTCCTATAGCTTAGCACAGCACTTTAAAGTTTACAAGATACTCTCATTTGCTCTTGGAATCCTCTCCACTGTTTTATAGATGAGAAAACCAAGCCTCAGAGAAGTGAAACACTCAAGTTGATGGTGTCAGCAAGTTAAAGGTCAAAGTCAGATCTCTTGAGTCTGCATCTCATGCTTTTCTCAATACAACAAAAATTGCTGCCCTGGCTGGGTAGCTCAGTTGGTAGGGCATCAATGAACCAAGGTTGTGGGTTCAATCTCTGGTCAGGGCACATACAAGAACCAACCAATGAATGAATAAATAAGTGAAACAAAAAATCGATGTCGCTCTCTCTCTCTCTCAAAAAACATTGCTCACACCTAGATTGACCCATCATTCAAATAATTATTTCCCTTAAAACAGCCAAAAGAGAGTCTCAGAGGCCCTCAGAGAATCTAACATAATACTAACCCATCCATAAATGCAGTCTACCCATAACCAACCACACAGCCCCAAAGACCCAGTTCTAAGGCTATGACCTCTGCCCCAAAGAGTCTTTCTCATAGAATCCTCCTGCCACCACGAGTGTGTGCCTTTAGATAGAGGAGCAAAATCTGTCTCTGACTCCTCCAAGAAGGGGTCCTAGAAGGAAGGCACTCCCATCCCGGGCTCCTATTCTAGGGGTCCCGTCCCCGCCCCTCCCCTACCTGCCAAGAGCTGCATCCAGGCGCAGATCTTGTAGACCGTGGCCGTGTTGCAGAAGAAGAAAAGCGCAAAGCAGGTAATGCAGCCGAGGATCAGCACCATGGAGAGCAGCACGAAGAAGGCGGCCGCCTTGAAGGCGCCGGACGGGATGGTGCTGAAGTCGGTGAACGAGCCGCGGCAGGTGAGCTCGCGACCCGCCAGCCCGCTGCCCACACAGTAGTGGAAGAGGCCGAAGTAGCCAGGCTTGGGGGTGCTCACGCTGTCGCCCACCCAGTAGGGCTGGATGAAGACCACCACGTTGATGATGGCGAAGCAGATGGTGAAGATGGCCCATAGCACGCCGATGGCCCGCGAATTCCGCATGTAGTGCTCGTGATAGAGCTTGGAGGCCTCCTGCGAGGGCAGCATGGTGCCCGGGGGCGGGGCCGGCGGCGGCGGGCGGGGGCCACCGGCCCGGGACCGACCGCGGGGCTGCCGGGCGGGAGCTGGAGACGCACGCGAGAAGCCACCCTGAGCCAAGGAACTCGAGAGGGCCAGACCTGGGGCGGAGCTGGGGAGACCCGAGGGCTGGTACGGGGAAGCTAGCAACGGGTCATGAGAGTGTTGGGTCAGTGTCTGTGGGCAAGGATCTCCAACTGGGGACTTAGGAAGGGACCATGTGAAAGTTGGGGGCTGGGATGAAGGGGCTGTGGTGAGGATAGGGGAGCTGCAACGGGGGGATTAGAAAGTAGTCATGGGGGTGTTGGAGAAGGAGCTTGGGGGCTGGTATTGGGGGAGTAGAGAGGAGGAGACCATGCGGAGATGGAATGGAGTCTGGGGGCCGGTATTGGAGAATTAGCAGAGGCGCTTTATACAGGGAGCTGGAAAGGCAATTTGGGGGTGGTACGAGGGGTAGGAGGTCTGGTACTGGGTGTTTAGAAAAGAGGGTAAGTGCTTCTATGATATTAGGGGCTGGGGGATTGGGAAGGTGATATGGGGGCTGGGACAGGGAGTGGGGGTGGTATGAGGGTCTAAGAAGGCAAAGTGGAAGGATCAGGGTGAGGCTAAATAGGAGTCGGGGGCTGGAGCTGCAGGCTCTGGACCCGGGGCGGGGTGGGGGGTTTCTAAGGGTCTCTGAGAAGCCAGGGCTGGATGGGGGCTGGATGTAGCCTGGGAGGGAGCCTAGGATTGGCGGGCCAGGGCTGGGGAGAGCAGTGTTCCAGGCCAAGGGGACTAGGGACCGAGGCCGGCGGGCAGCCTGGGCCGGGAGGGTCGGCCGGCGGACAGGAGGCGTCCCCGGGAGCTGGAGAGCGGCCGGGCCCGGGCAGGGCCGGGGGTGGGGGGGCGGCTGCCCCGCTCCCAGGCCGGACGCGCACGGAGGCTGAGGCCGCAGGGAGGGGATGCGGGGAGACCAACCTGGGCCCGGTCCGGGCGGCGGGTCCGGGACTGGCACAACCTAGGCGCCGCGGCTCGGCGCTCCCAGGAGCGGCTGCCTCGGCCCAGGCGGCGGCCGCCGCGCGGCCTCCATCTTGCTCGGGCTCTCCCCGGGGCGCGCTCCCGCGCCGGAACGCGCGCTCTCGTGCACTGGCGCGGCCCGGAGGAGGCTCGCTCCCGCCTCGGGCAGGCGGGGACGGGCGGAGCGGGGGAGGGGTGGCACGGTCCTCCGCGTGCCCCTGCTTGAGCGATAAGTCCCCTCCACAATAGGGCCCTCTGTTTTAGGGGACTCCCTTCTTAGAGCCTAAGCTGTGGGACTGCGGGTCTCCGCAAAGTCCATGGGAATGTGAGAGGGGCCGAAGGCGATATTATTTGATAGGGTTTGAACTGATCTCTTCTTCCTAAATTACCTTCCTTACAGCCTATCACAGTGCCTCAAGTTGCACCATTACGCTTCCAGGCCTTTGGATCTTGGAAGCGTTGAAGGTTCCCAGAGTCTCCTAGGAAACAGCCAACACCCCTAGGAAAGGGAGCCCCCTAAACTGTTAGCAGCCCATGTCTGGTGGTGGGGATTCATTGGCCGCCAGCGCAAAGAACCGGACCTAAGGTGAGTATCAGGGGACAGGAGAGGAGGCTGGGACATGCTGGTTACTCTCCCCAGTGCATGGCACGAAGAGGGCACCTCATGAAGAACAAAGCATCCAAATCCGGGCTCAAGGTGAGGTCGAGAACACCCTGAGGGCACTCCAAGAACGCCAAGGTGGGTCATTTCTTTCCCTTCAGGGAAAAAGCTTTGGCTTAGGATCTGTCAAGAGATGTGGGTTGACGCTCAGGCAAGCTGACTACTACTTGCTCTCTCTGGGACCTTGTACTTGAGCTCTCTGAACCTGTGTTCCCCCATCTGTAAAGGGGGCAGATTAAACCCACTTAAGAAATGTGGAAGGGGCATTTGAAAAATAATCTCTATTAGTGGGTTCCAAACCCTAGACCTCACACGGGGGTCAATCTGATAAAATTTACATCTATCTGTAGTGTGTGTGTGTGTGTGTGTGTGTGTGTGTGTGTGTGTTTCACAGGGAAAAGGGACTGGTTGTTGTTTTCCTGAGATTATGTACTTCCTTCTATCTTCTGTAAAAGTTCCCTTTTTTAAAGAAATGGTGAAGATAGTTAATGGAAATTTCTTTTTAATATCCTTACTTGACAAGATAAAAAAAAAGCTGTGCTATTTTCATCCCAAATATATATATGTCTGAGGTCTCCAAATTGTGGGATTTCATGGATATATATATATATTCCCATGTGAGGACCCATGTCCCATGTGAGGTCATCTCACCTGTGCACAGAGTGCTTGGTAAGTTTGGTTACCTCCCATTGGTCCCTTGGAGAGGGCATTCTGTCTGTCCCCTGAGAGCATACTCCAATCATAAGCTGGAAGAGTCTGTGGAGAGTGTCTCATTCTATACCTTCTCCCACCTGACAGGTGGAGAACAAAGGTCAAAGAGGGGGATTGACTTATACAAGGAAGTGGATGATCCTGCCAATTAGGCTGATCGACCTGATTCATGAACTTATTCCTCCAGGAAATAAGCTTGCAATAAGCCCCTGCAAGGGGGAGAAGATGGTGGGTAAAAAAGACATGGTCCCTGCTCTTCTGGAGCTCACAGCTTCATTGGGGTGATAGAAGGTGTTAAAAGGAGGGAGCAGGCAACTGGTCATCCTCAAAGAGTATCTCAAAGCCTCTGAGGACTCCTGGTTGGGTTCTGTTCTGAACACAAGTTATTGGAGCCGGAAGCTCCACCTTTTCTCCTTACTCTGCTACGAATTACTGCCTTTTTCTCTATCCTACTGAACAAGCTAGGCAGTCCAGGAGAAAAACCAGAGTTTTCCCTTACTACTCTTGAGGGAAGAACTGAGAATTCTTGCTAAGGTGGGCCCCGAGTTCCTCACTGATTGACTATTTTAGCTCTGCAGAGCAATGGCACCTGTAGAGATGTGCCCACCACCCAAACCACTTCTGACTTCAATATATATTTTTTTTATTTAAAGAAACTAATTTCTCCCTTACTCGGTCCCTGGGTTTGGTAAGACTTATCCCATCACCACCACCATACTTTTCTGCAGAGGGTGGCAAATAAGCAGGCCTGGACAATGAAAATACTCCATTATATCTCACACAGCAACTGGTTCAAGAGTGGGGCCCATATGCAAACCCAATAGTTGAAAATGATTTCCAGTTTATAAGAAAGAGATGTTCTCTTTCTACTGAGATTGTTGAGCTGGGGGAATTGTAAGTTTTAGCTACTGGGGGCCATCTTTGACACCCCAAGCGGACAGTTTGTCTTAGAATATTATGAACATACAAGGAAGACAGAAGGAAGTGGAGAGAGACAATTCTGATGACATAGCTTGAGCACCTAGATCCATCCAGTCCTGAAGACCTGCTTCTGAATTTTTCTGTTATATAAGAAAATAAATTCAATTTTTTGCTTAAACCAGTTTTAGTTGGGTTTTTATCACTTCCAATTGAATTAGCCCCAGATAAGTTACCTACATCCCCCCTCCCAAAGAGAGTAGGTCTGATACACTGGAGTTTTTATACTGCAAAAAATATCTGAAGAGATGAGCTATTTCTGGCATTTTGGAACCAAAAGAGCAAAATCTGAGGCCCATCTCTGCCACTGTTCAACGGCGTGACCCAGGACAGTGATGCTACTCTTCAGAGCCCTATTTTCTCCATCTCTAGAATGGAGAAGACCTCCTTCCTTCGTGTTTTGTGCGGATTAAAGGAGATAATGGATGGAAAAGAGCTTTGTAAACTGAAAATGGCTTTATAAATGTAAGTGATTATCATTAAAGTTTAATAAGTAGCTTGCCCAAGGAGTAGGAATAACAATAGTATTGGAAAGGCACTTGCTGAGCTGGGAGTGGCTGGGACAGAATGTCTCCTCATTTTAAACACGAACCTAAGAGCAGTTACAGAAAGAAAATTTGAGAACTTCTCATTGTCCCCAGGGAGTGGCCAGACCAGAACGGAACAGTTGTGGGATCAAGATGGGGACTACTGACTATAAGGGAAAGGTGATGTTGGTGCTCACTGCGGCAGCACATACACTAACATGGGAACAGTACAGAGGTTAGCATGTCCCCTGCGCAAGGATGACATGCAAATTTGTGAAGCAGTCTATATTAAAAAAAAAATAAGGTGATGTTGGACTGAGCATCTGGCTGAGAAGAGATGCCCTCAGGGCACATCCAGCCAATATCCTACCAAAGAGAGCCTTGTAACTTGCCAGATACCCTTATGTCTAAGTTAAGTATTCAGTTACGTTAAACAGTTATTAAGCTCTTAAAACATTCTAGGTCCCCTGATCTTTGCTTTACATGTATTGTCTCATTTAATTTTCACAATAATCCTATGAGATTGCATTATAGGCTGAGCTGTGCCCTCTCTACCAATTTATATATTGAAGTACTAACCTCTAGTACCTCAGGATGTGACTGTATTTGGACATAGGCCCTTTAAAGAGGTAATTAAGGTAAAGTGAGGTCATGCAGGTGAGCCCCAATCCAATATGACTGCCCTTATAAGAAGAGATTAGGACGTATAACACACAGACCAAGGAACCACCATGGAGGGACACAGTGAGAAAGCAACCACAGGAGAGAGGCCTCAGAAGAAAGCAAACTTGACAACAACAGACTTGATCTTGGACTTCTACCCTCCAGAACTGTGAGAACACAAATGTCTATTGTTTAAGCCACCCAGTCTGTAGTATTTTGTTATGGTAGCCCTAGGAAATTAATACAGGTAGACACTACTATATGGCCATTTTACAGAGGTCAAATGACTTCCCCGAAGTCACACCTCTAGCAAGTGGAGGGGCTGAGATCTCCAAATATTCTCCACTAAAGTGTCCATACTTAATTACTGCACTATATAGATAATTCCGTAGAATGGATTCAATTTTTCTCAATTACTTTTTTTCCTTTTTTAAGTCCATATCATTTAATTATGAGCACCTGCACTGGCAGCAGACTTTTGGGTTCAAGTCTCATTTCTGCTCATGATTGCACTTAAGCCTCAGTTTCCTCAGCTGTAAAGTGAGATGACGATAGTAGTATCTCCAAGTGCTCAGGAAGGTTGAATGAGATATTGTGCACATCAAATACTGAGGACTTGGAAAACATTCAAAGCTATTTGCTGTTATCATTGCGTTGCTAGAAAGTGGTAGTTTCAGGATTCAAACCTGGGACTGGTTTGGTCAAAGCTAGTGCACATAACCCTTACATTGAACTGTTCAAAGTTGCTGAGCCCCTACGGAGAAGCATGGGAGCTATGGAGTCAGACAAATGGGTATTTGTATTCTAACCCTAATACCCAACAACTGCGTGGGACTGGGTAAGTTATTTAAATTTTCTGAACCTCATTTTTTAATCTGTAAAATTGAACTAACAAATTCTTAACCTCACATGATTTAAATGAGGTAAAATGTGAGATGTTGGTTACATAGTAAATGCTCAATAAACAGTAGAGAGGATTTCATCTTTTGTAAAAGGTTATGTTCTAAAGACAAAATGCAATCAAGGAGGAGTATGGTATAAATTATCTTTTATTACCAGCATGTGTTTCTGCACAAATGCTTTCTTTTTAGAGAAAGCTGGCAACAACAAAGCCATGTTACAAGACTTTAAGACATTAAAACATTAAGGTCCCTGAAAATGTCTATGAGAAAAAAAATACCCTTTAAAAAATCCCTTATTTGTCCATAGAGTACAATAAACAAGGTTTCATGTATGCCATCCCATCCTGTCTTTCTTAGGTACTAAAGTTTAAAAAAACTGAAAAGAAAGAAACGAAAGGGAACTCTATTTTCAGGTACAGAGCCATTCAAACCATTCTGCTTTTAAAATATTATTAATTCTTTAAAAATGAGGGATAGGTGGAAAATTCTAAAGGATTCATATTTTTATCTGTATGTAGAATTTCCTCCTTACTTATCCATAAAGTCTCCAAAACATGAGAACAAAAATAGATTAATTTTTACTTGTGAGTATTAAATAACACTGTCGCCTCTTAAGGGGTCAATCATTAAATGTGTATGTGAAACTGTAATGAAACAGCTGTGGGCCCTGGCTGGGTGGCTCAGTTGCTGGAGCACCCTCTCATACACCCAAAGGTTGCAGGTTTGATTTCTGGTCAGGGTGCGTATGGAAGGCGACCAACCAATGTTTCTCTCTCTCTCCTCTCCTCCCCACTCCCTGTCTCTTCCTCTTTCTCTAAAGTCAATAGGTATATCCTTGGGTAAGGATTTAAAAAGAAAAGTCAAGTCTATGGTGTTTGTCCAGTAATCCTTTTCCTTTTCTTCTGGTAATAGTATCCAGCTTCTGTTAGAAAACTGCCACCCCTTTTCTCTCTCTGGACAGGATGGATATGGGTACCACGCCAGCCAGTTATAGTACCTGTCTTAGTCAGCTCTGGCTGCTATACCAGGGTACTATAGACTATGCGGCTTAAATAACAAACATTTCTTCTTTATGATTCTGGAGACTGGAGATCAGGGTGCCAGTATGGTGAGAGCTCTCTTCCTGATTGTTGTCTTCAAGTGGCGGAGAGAATTCTAGTTTAGGACACTAATTTCATTATGGAGGCTCTACCCTCATGACTTCATCTAAACCTAATTGCCTCCCATTAATTTAATTTGATTTAATTTGCATTTCCCTAATGCCTGGGGATGTTAAACATATTTGATATGCTTATTGTTTGTATATCTTCTTTGAAGAAATGTCTATTTTCTAATTTTTGTATTGGGTTGATGAGTTGTAGGAGTACTTTTTTTTCCTAGAGTGAGAGAGAGACACAGAGAAACATCGCTTTGTTTTTCCACTTATCTATGTTTCCATTGGTTGCTTCTTGTTTGTGTCCTGATCAGGGATCAAACCCACAAACTTGGGGTATCAGGATGGTGCGCTAACCTAACTGAGCTACCCAGCCAGGGCCGAGTTGTGGGAGTTTTTATATTTTCAGAATATTAACTATATGTCACATATATGGTTTGCAAATACTTTTTACCATACCGTGGGTTGTCTTTCAACTCTCTTAATAGTGTCCTTTGATGTACAAATGTTTTAAATTTTGATGAAGTCTAGTTTATCATTTTTTTTATATTGTTGCCTGTGCTTTTTGTGTCATATCCAAGAAATCATTGCTAAATCCAGTGTCATGAAACCTTTTCCTATGTTTTCTAAGAGTTTTATAGTTTCAGCTCTTACACTTAGGTCTTTGATCAATTTGGATTAATTTTTCCATATAATGTAAGGCAACAGTCCAACTTCATTTTTTGCATGTGGCTATTTAGTTGTCCCAGCACCATTTATTGAAAAGACTGTCCTTTCCCCACTGAATGATTATGGCACCCTTCTTGAAAATGAATTGACCATACATATGAGGGTTTATTTTTAGGCTATTTTATGCCATTGGTCTGTATGTCTATCCTTATGCCAGTACTGCTGTTTTCAAAGAATCAATGTTTCAGTGGTTTTAATCATGTTAAATCTAAACATGATAGATTGTTGCCAGTATGCAGAAGTTTCACTGCATTTTATTCATGTTTTAAGAAATTTTCTGAAGTTTGGCATTGACATGTCATGCATTATAATTTCTCCCATGTAAAATAATGGGAACCAGGCTTCCTTCCTGTCTATTTTCATAAAGAATATGTGGTTTCTAACACAGATTACTAAACAAGAGATTCCTGTATTTTATATCTAAACTTTATTGGTTATTTCTATATCTTTAGACATTTATACTTAACATGAACTCTGAAATAAATTAAGATCTTTATGTTCCTTCTATACAGATATAGCTCTTAGAAAATTTTAACTCAGAGCCATATTCTTCCATCTTCTAGTTAAAACCCCAAAGGGTAACTCTTAAAAGTCAGATTTATCAAAGTATTGTTTACATGCAATAAAATCCATACTTTTCAGTATTGACAAATACATGCAGTTGTGTAACCACTACCAAAACTGAGATATAGATCCACCACCTCCCAAAGTTTCTTGCTTTTCCTTTGATGTTGGCTTCTCACCACATCCTGAATCCTGGACAACCATGTGATTGTTTTTTATCTATATGGGTTTTGCCTTTTCAACAATGTCACATATGGAATCATATAGTATGTAGCATTTTGAGCCTGACTTCTTTAACTTGGCATAATGAATTTCAATTCAACCATGCTTTTGGGTACATCAGTATTTGATTCTTTTTAATTGCTGCAGAGTGATCTACTGCATAAATATAGTTTTTTATCTGTTCACCAATTTGAAGGTCATTTCAATTGTTTCACATTTTGAGAATTACAAATAAAGCTTCTATAAACATCTCATGTATAGGGTTTTTTTTGCCCATTTTCTATTGGGCTGTTCATTATCTTGTAATAAAGTTTTGAGAGTTCTTTATATACTGTGAATACAAGTCCTTATTAGATACATGTTTTGCAAACATTTCCTCCCAATTTTAGGCTCATCTTTTCATTTAACAGTATCTTTTGAAGAACAAAAGTTCTTCACTTTGGTAAAGTCCAGCTTATCATTTTTTTATTTTATGGATTATTTTTTCATATAATACCTTTTTAAAATATAATATAAAGATATAATATCTTTTTATATAATATCCTTTTGTGTTACATATTTTATATAATATAACAGGTTAGGGTTGGAATTCATCTTTTGCATATGGATATCTCATTGTTCTGGCACTACTTGTTCAAACGACGTCTTTCTTCTTTTCAATAGCTTTTGCACCTTTGTCAAAAATTAACTGAAACAGCACTGGCCAGGCAGCTCAGTTGGTTAGAGCATGATCCCAATACACCAACATTGGGGGTTCGATCCTGGGTCAGGTCACATACAAGGGGTAAAACCGTTAATGCATAGATAAGTAGAAAAACAAAGTGATTTTTCATTCTCTCACTCTAAATCAACAAAAAAAATCAATCAAAACACATTGAGATACCTCTTCACACCCACCAGGGTGGCTAAAGTTAAAAAGATAATAACAGTGTTGCAGAAAATGTGGAGAAATTAGAACCCTCATACATTAATGGAGGGAATGTAAAATGGAATACGTACTTTGGAAAACAATTTGGAAGTTTCTGAAAATGTTAAACATAATAATACCATATGGCCCAGC